TATCAAGAGAATTAGAAGATAAACCACATATTGGGAGAAAATATTTATAAAATATTAATAAGGACATTTATCCAAAATATACAAAGAACTTTTAAAACTCAATAATAAAAAAACAACATTATTTTTAAATTGGCCAAAGACCTTAACAGATACTTCATCAAAGAAGATATAAAGATGGCAAATAAGCATATGAAAAGATGTTCCACATCATATGTCTCTGGGGAAATTCAAATTAAAACAAGGTACCACCACACTGCTAGAATGGCCAAAATCCAAAACACTGACAGCACCAAATGTTGGTGAGGTATTGAGCAAAAAGAATTCTTCTTATATAGCTGGTGAGAATTCATAATGGAACAGCAATTTGGAGACTGGTGGTTTATTACAAAACTAAGCACACTCCTAACATATAATCCAGCAACTACCCTTTTTGGTATTTACCCAAAGGAGTTAAAAACTTATGTCCATGTAAAAACCTGCACAAGGTTGTTTAGAGCAGCTTTGTAACTACCAAAACTTGGAAGCAACCAAGGTGCCTATAGTAGGTGAATGGATAAAGTGTGGTACATCCAGACAATGAATATTATTGAGAACTTACAAGAAATGAGCTATCAAGCCAGGAACAACATGAAGGACACTTAAATGCATGTTACTGAGTGAAAGAAGCCAATGCGAAAAACCTGAATACTGTATGATTTTAATATGACATTCTGGAAAAGGCAAAGCTATGGGGACAGTAAAAAGATCAGTGGTTGCTTGTCGGAGCAAATTGAAGTGGAGGAGAGAGATGAATAGACATAGCACAGAGGAAAATCAGGGAAGTGAAAATACTATGAATGATACTATAATGATGGAATATGTCATTATGCGTTTATTTCTCCAAATCCAGAGAGTATACATCACCAAGAGTGAGCCTCAAGATAAACTGTGGACTTTGGGTGACTATTATGTGACTATGGGGGTTCATCCTTGGTAAAAAAAAAAAAAAATGTGCCATTCCTATGAGTGCTGTTGATGGTAGGGAGGCTATGCATGTGTGGGGACAGGGATATATGGGAAATCTCTGTATTTTCCTCTCACTTTTGTTGTAAACCTAAAACTGCTCTAAAAAGATAAAGTTTAAAAAAAATCGGAAAAAAACCCCAGAGAGACTGAAGGGACAATCTCTACTATTGATTAATAAAGCCCTAAGAGACATAGCAATCAAAAAATATACACAGTATACTAAGATATAAACATATATGTAGTGTACCCAGTAATTACTTTGACTTTTAGATACTTTTATGATAAAGTAACTAATTTTTGTTTATTGTTAATTTAAGGAAATTTTTCTTTAACCTTTCAGATGATACAGCATTGTTTGAGTTGATTCAACTAGTTCCACCAGGTACTGTATTATATTTTGATAAGGTAATTGATGTGCAAACCCATGTCAAAAAATGCTTTTAAAAAATAGATATTTTCCCTTTCTTCCCAAATTAAGAATGAAGTTGAGTTTCTAGTATTGGTCCACTATGCACAGAACAGCAATAGATGAAAATAATAAATACATAACAATTGGCATGAATCATATTTGAACATGTTCTAAAACTGAATAAATAGTAATAAAGGAAGGTGGAAAATTATATGCTATCATCCTAGCGTATTTTGTGACATTCATAAAAATTGACTTTGAGTTTTTGTGATTTTTCTCAAACAACATTTTTTTTTTGATAAGGTAATTATCTTTGTTTTTGTGTGTTGACTGTTACTGGGAATGGGGAGTGGAATAAAACCTTAACTGTTTAGTGAACATTACAAATCTCTGGGGTAGGTAAAATTAAAATTAAAATATGGAGGATAACTTGATTTTTGTTATTTACTTCTGTGAGTATAGGAGAAATCTATCTTAATCAAATAATTATTCTATGTGAAAAGTGGAGAGCTATATGTTACTAAAAATTAGTAATCTAAAAGATTTTGAATATTACATGTATACTTAATTTGGGTAACCACAAATTCTAGAAGATGTCTACATTTTTTTCCAACATGTAACCTAATGTCTTACAATGGCAATTAGAAAAGAATGGAAGATAGGAAAAATTTATGGAGATGGTAATTACATTTTAGATTTGTAAATGTCATACCAACTTGATATGTTTACAAGGACTTTTTTTCTCTAGAAACACATAGGTACTCATAAAATTTACATGAATATCTCCCTTCTATAAAAGGGGGAGGGAGAATTAGTAATATGTACTACATTTCTGAATAAGGAATCCATTTAACATAACTTTCTTTTAATTTTCCTTTCATAGAAAAAAAAAAAAATGACCCTGAAGCAGAAATTTCAGTAAGGCATCAGGCACTATATATATTGTACTTGATCATATTGTTTCTAAATAGAATATTTTGTTATAATTTGAATCATAGGGTATCTTTCTTGTAGTGGGTGAAACACTGTCTACGTATGATGAAAATACACGGGATTTCATGTTCCCGGGTCCAAACCAAATTTCTGGACACCATGATTCAAACCGCCAGGTTACCATGAGGAGGATTTCTGGCCTTCGAGTAAGTGTATTTTCTCAGTCAGTCTGTGATGTAGGATCATTGTCAAAAACCACCACGTAGGCTTTAATACCTGAAATGTGAAGAACTAATTCAAAGTTTAATTTGGTTCAAAACATAATTTTTTTATGAAATTATGATGTTATTTTAAACATACTGAAATCTGAACAAAGCCCATGCATCTTTCATCCAGAATTAACAAGTGTTAATTTGCCTTATATTCCTCAGATTTTTCTCCTCTCCTTCTACCTCCCACCTCCCCACCTTCCCTATCTGTCTCTTCTCTTTATTGTTCTCTCAAAAGAATGACCAATAAACATTTGAAAAGGTGCTCGATTTCATTAGCATATAGGGAAATCCAAACTAAAACAACCTTATGATTTCATTTTTATAGCCGTAAGGTTGGTAAAATTTAATAAAATATGACCATATTAGAAGTGTGAAAAACTGGAAGCTCTTCCATACTGGTATGCCATGTAAGTTGGAACCACCACAATTCAGAGTTATCTAGTAAAAGCAAAGATTCTCATAGCCTTTCTCTAGGTATGTTTCATGGAGATGTATTCTCTCTGGTATACTAAGAGCCTTCCTAGGGATGTTCATTGATAGCAATTTCATAATAGTGAAAAATCGGAATAATTTAAATGTTCATTAGTAGGAGTTTGGATAGATTAATTGTTGTATGTTCATGTCATGGAAATATACATTTACATACCTAAAAGTGAAAGCTGCATCGTGACAACCAACTCTTCCATCCTTTCCCCCAACTCCCTTCAACTTTTGTTGGGTCATTTAGAAATATATTTATCCCTGAAAATGTCTTCCACTTAGAGAAACTGAGAGAAGACCCTGCTATTTCAAAGAAGAAAAAAAGCAAAAGATGTCTAGGTTGAAATAATTTGGACAAACATTTTTTTACTATCTTTATAAAATGTTAAAATAGTATGAGTAAGGAAAGTGGGGTGATATATGAGCTAGTATGGTAAATTAAATACTTTTCCCTATAGGTCTAGGTTTATGATATGCTCTGTTCTGGGAAATAGCAACTTCAGCTTGCTAGAAGTTTAAAAGTTGACTAGCAAATCTACGAAAATATACTTCCTTTGGGATATTATCAGTGTCCATTAGCCATCTTCTATATTATGAAAACCTTCAAAGAGTGTTTCAGCAAATGTATGGAAGCCTGCAATGAAAAAAAATCTGATTTTAAAATTATGGTGTTTTGAAAGTAATTTAAAATGCTGTATTATAACAAATTGGCAATATAAACATAAAAGTATGGACCATTAATAAGTATCTTCTTCATTTACTTTGGGTTTTTTACATACATTCAGATGTTGGATTACTAAGGCAAAAAATACATATATATATATATGTATGTGTATATATA